ATTCTGATCAATAGAGGATTACACATTGAATTAATCTTAAAATGGCAAAAGGTAGCATTTCCATTTTCATAAAGGCAACTTTATGTCAACTTGCTTCCCTTGAGCCTTGGACCTCTCTCTTTGCAGCAAACAAGTTCCATAAACTTAGGCAAAAGTACAGCAAAATTGTGCATGCTTGGAGATAGCCTGTACATGCCTATCTTGTATCACTTCACACTTTTCTTTCAAAACAAGTCAACTTGCCAAAAGGACATATCTTGAGTATCTGATATAACCAAAGTTTGTAAGCATTCCAAACAAGTTTTTGACATTGCCTTGAGCCAGAAACACGAGCCATTCATCCCTCAAACACTCTTGAACATCAAAACACATTCTTCTTTCAAAACAGGGCAGCTTCTGCACTTTGAGTTCCAAAACAAAAACCACTCGTGCATTTTTCCCCAAACCACTTCCAACACATTCCATATAACCCATATGAACTATCCCAACCATTGGCCCTTGACTGTAACTCCATTTGCAAGCTTCACCATTTCTGATTTCAGCTTGTGCAGGTTGACTTCTACAGGCTCATCCAAGCAAGCTCGAGGCAAACAAAGCATTGGGGAAGGTCAAAGGAAGTTCAGGCAAGCTCACAAACATCTCAGGCCTCATTGAAAACCTCCACATTGCCATACATGAGTTCAACTGAAACAGGTATTTGTTAACTTTCTATCTCTCTATTTAGGAATCATTAGGCTTAGGTTTGTGAATAAAAAATGTAGTACTCATAGCCCTTAAGCTGTACATATGCATAGATTTCATTTAAGTTAAGTGTGCTAAGAGAATTTGATTGATGAACATCCTGAAAAAGTTAGGTTAGAAATTAGGGCCAGAGAAATTCTCTCTGGTCTTTGAGAGTTGGATTAAGTTTTTTATATAGTTAGAATCGTATGATCATGCTCTATAACTTTCATGTTGCAAGTTTTCGTTTTTAAGCACAAATGCAGGAGATACGAGTTGTACATCAGAACGCGCATTTTTGTGTTTAAACGAAGGTTGAAGATGAAGTGTTGGGCTGGGCTTGGCTTGGCATGACTTTTTGCATCCCCTGGTATGCTTCTTGCACCCCCTGGCCCATTTCATTATATTTTTGTATTTTTCTATTTATTTTTCATTTCTGATTATATTTTATATTTTCATAAATTTTCACATTTTTATTTTATTATTTTTTAGACATAAAAATAATTATTAAATATTATATACTTTTATTTTCTTTAATAAAAACTTATAAATATTATATATTTTTATTTTTATTATTTATACATATAAAATAATATTTTTTTCACATGATTTATTTATTAATATCCTTGTATATATTTATATTTATTTTCTTGTACATAAAATAAATAATATAATATATATTATGTTAAAACAAAAACTAGGGTTTCCACCCTTATTAAAAATAATATTTTTTCTAATTTATTTTATTTTTTGACACTTGAATATATTTTTATTTATTTTATTGTACATAAATAAATAATATTATAATATACATACATATTCTTAAACCAAAAATTAGGGTTTTACCCTTAACAAAAAATAACTTTTTATTTTCTTTTTTTAATATATTAAATATCTTATTTTTACATACATAAAAATAAACAAAAAAACATTTTTACATATTTATAATATTTTGCATATTTATATTTAAATTGTTTATTTAAATATTGCTTATTTATTATTTGATGCGAAGAATTCAATTTGGATGTAATAGTATATCTTAGGATTTTATTTTCTTGCAAATACTCCCCATTCAAAATTGTATCCCCCTCCCATATCAATGTTGTAATAGTCGTAAATTTATTTTACGCATTTATAGCTTTCAAATATGCCATGATAGAGATTAGGGTTTGTATGTAATGTCCAAAATCAAAACAAATAGTTAGACCTAATACAAGACATAAAAGCATGTAAATTGACAACACAATACACACATGCACCCCTAGGGTTTCATCCACTTGTTGCCTTTAAAATGGCCATGTTATGCATGTTGAGTATCTTGGCAAAACAGAAACAAAACAAAAGATCATAGTCCCTCGATGACGCTATCTTGGTTGCCTATACAAAAATTATCTAGTCCCTCAAAAAATTTGCTAAGATACTTGGCAATATTGCTATCATGGTCAATATGATGACCCACGCCTGTCTCGTTTAACATCCAAACACAAGGTTGTTTACCAAATGCAATGGTAAAACAACATTGTCGAAAGGGTTAAAAATGTGTAGGAAAGATCTTTGAGTAGATAGGGTAGACAACTCTTAGTTACTTGATCAAAACTTGCAAAAACATCCTTGTTATTTTCAAACACACCTCACAACACAATTTCAAAGCATTTTCCCAAAACAAACTTTCAAACATTGAAACATATTTTCAAAAGACAATACACCTTTGTATACATTCAAACAAGAATCATTACAAAGGTTACCACGACGATGGCCTCTTTTCAAAACATTTTCAAAACCACACACAAAGCACCATTTCAAACAATTGAAAAGCAAAAGCAAGTGATCTAAACAAGTAACTAAGAGCCCATGGATAACCATGGATGAAAAGGGTGCTTGCACCTTCCCTTTTCATAATCTACCCCCTGAACCCAAGAAAATATCTCAAAGGTCTTTCCTGTGCTTTTTGACCTTTCCTTTGGATAAAATAAAAAGTCGGTGGCGACTCTTGCTAAACCGAAACATTTGCGAACACAAACGCAAAACCTCAAGTCAGTTCTCCCACCGCATCACAACTATCATCAAATCTAATGTCATCAACATCTCTACTACTATCACTGCTGCTATCATCACTTCTTTGGTTGAGATAACAAGCATTAGGTGCAGAAGCCTTGCTTACCATGTCTTCAACATCATGTTCAATCCATATATGACCATTCACACTATTAGCAAGGCAGTGTGTGGCGATTTTTAAATCTTCTTTGTCATCTATGAAGTTGAAATAACCTTCATCAACTCCTGAAATTTTTCTCCGCGGTCTAGATCCAATATAGCCACAATCTTTAACTAAGCTAATAGCTTCAAAGTAACTTAACATATCAGGATATTGGCCTTAAACGATGGTTTCATTCCCACCCATATAATACATGAACTTGTCATGCACAAAGTGTCCCCCTATGATGAAACATGACATTGAATACGCCCATTTCCAAAAATTAAACACATAATCAATGGTTAACACAATTAACCTACACAATATAATGTCAAATAACTCATAAATTTACTTCATGGTAAAAACCTAAGTTTGAGTTGAATGAAACTTTGGGACAACAAAGTAAACAAAATTTTGGGACCACAACAAAATAAAGGAAAGTTTAGGACCACAACAGTAAATGAGAGTTTTCAAAACTGTACCTTTTTTAACCCTTCTTGAAACCTTCGAAGAAGTCTTTAGAGAAGCGAATATGTCAATCTAACAGCTATGAAAATGATGAATAATGGATCAACCTGAGACGAAATATGATTACGAGGCACTTGGATTGAGATTGAAGGTGCGAAAATAGTAATGGTTCAGTGACTGGGTTTTTAGGGTTTCAAATGCAAGGGTGAAAATGGAGGTGGAATGTTCCTTTTACGTTTTAGGGAGATTGATAATTCAATTAGTGTTTCTATGTTCAAACAGTGAATTCTTGATTAGGGTAGTAAATCCCAGATTAGGGTGACTTAGTGTGTTTACAGTGGGTCATTAAAGGGTTAATTAAAAAAATTACTTTATTACCACAATCTAATGCCACATGACTTTTATTTTAATATAAAAATAATAAAAATAAATAAAAAAGTACATATTGGCAAAGATTTTGATGTCTACTCTAAATGAAAGACTAAAAGTACGAAATTTTCATATGTTAAAGATGAAATTCAAAAAAAAAATTAAAGAGGATTTTTAAACGCTCGCTTCTCAGAAGGACAAATACCTATTAACCCTATTTTAAAAAATGATTTTATAAAATCTAATTTTAAAAATATAAAAAAAATCCATCTTTTAGAGTTAAAACAAGCATGCCCTGGATGAACAACAACATGCTTAGATAGACCAAAATAGGAAGTGTTTACCAATTGCAATGTCCAAATCAAACATGTGTGAACTGAAAAATGTATCCATATATGAATTATGATGGTCAATGATTTTGGTTTTTGGTAATCCTACCAAGACCAAAATTGATCATTCAAGATGAACACTGAGGCAGTGTAGAGGAAGTGCAATTAAGAATGGAAAATTATTGTATAAAACCATTCGAGAGCTAAGAAAACGATTATTGCCATAATAGTGTAATAACTTTGTGAAGAAATGTATCAGAATATTTCTGAGTCATGAGTAGTCTTAAAACCAATTCATGTAAGCTTGGATCTTGATTCATCAAAATATTACATGTGCTGAGTTTTCATCACAATATGACAATCAATTCATGCACTTCTAGCTAAAAGGAATCTAAAAGGAGGTTTGAGCCTTCATATATCAATTTCAAAAGCTTTATGGACACATTTACAAAGAATCTTAGGAAGAAGGAGTTGTACACAGAAGGAAAATAAATGAAAAAAATGTGTAAGAAGCTACATATGCTTTCAAGCTGAGATGGTCAAGGAAAGAAACCATGCAACAAGGTCCTAAGATGAATGTGTATTTCGTCATGCTTTAAATATTGTAACTTCAATTGGAAGTTAAATTACACTCCAATATTTGTTGGCTTGAAATGGCAATGTTCAAAAACTTTGGTATCATTGTATGTGTTTTAACAAGTGGGAAATGGACAAGAAAACTCCTCTCGTGTTTTAACACTAATTACCTTTAAAACTGACTATTCTATCTCAAATGGTAATTTCACTAACATTTAAAGGAAGCAAAGCTCCACTTTTTTTTCAAATTCATTCGAATTGAACATGAAACTTTATTTAATGGAAAACCATATAATTTCCCTCTTCCACTATCAGGAGTTGGTTTGTAACGCCAATTTATGTTCTCACTGAGATTTTAAACAAAGGTCTGCAACCGTCTTCCCAAACTCATCCCCATATCCATCTTCCCAAATCCAACACCAGAATTGCTGGAATATATTCTCGATCATCTTCGCCAGAGCATAAAACGCACTCTTAACAGAACCAGAAGCCATAGCCGGCGACTCCAATTCCGGTACAGTTTCACTCAAACACAACACATGCTCTTGACCCGAAGCAACCAAGCACTTAATCAAAAACAAGCTTTTGGAGTCCAATAAAACCCTAGCTAATCCAGCATTTTGGGAGGAAGAACGGAAGAAACGTTTAACTCTATAGTCCGCGTCAATCACTCTGAGCTTGTCGTTCAGATTATTGCATCGGGATAGCTTGTCGCGGGGCATGAGAATTACTAAAGCAACCAACTGGCACAAGAGACAAATGAAAAGTTAACATGAATTCTTCAAGCTAAGAACACAGTCATTCCAGGTGAATTTAAAAGTAAATATATGAACTCTTCTAGTTAAAATTAAAACCACAACCATTTCATTCAAATTCAATTAGGGAATTTTATTCCCCTGCATCACATGTTTGAGATGCAGTACATAATCAATCAGGTCCCTGCATACTATGTTTAGTTTATAATAATAATTGTACAACATTTGAGAACTCGTGATTCCCACTAGTGCATCGTGGTTTTACTATTTCTCTGTATTTTGATAAGGCCAGCAGCAATGGTTTGAGTCCAAGCAACTAGAACTTATTATTACTTCTATTCTTATGCAGTTTATAAATAAATTGACTTTTGGGGTAAATACTACACCTTAAAGCTAACTATTCCCATCACATTCGAACTAAAACTGGCTTTGGCCTTTACCAGTTTCCAAATGCCACATGATATCCACCTGAAATATCTCAGTTGTCAACAAGGGTTTGAAACTTGACTCTCTTTTTAACGCTCCGCATTCGATCATATCCAATACCAATCTTGCTATGCATCAACTTGATAGCCAAATCAGCATTCCCAGCTTTCCTTAAGGAATGAATCATCACAGTTCTAATCTTCCCAGGTATTTCTCTACCCCTATCCACAATTCCATCAGCCAACTTACAAGCCTCCTTCACACGACCAGCTTTACACAGCGCTCCAATCATATCTTCATAAGCCGTTTCAAGAACAACCCCCATAGGTGCAAGCTCGTCCAGCACTTTACAAGCCCTCGCAACTTTTCCTGAAAGACACATTCCAATTGAAAAAGCCCTAAAACAAGCAACGTTCGGCGTTATCCCTTTGTCAATCATCAAATCCCACATCTTGACGGCTTCTTCATTCCTATGCACCCTGAAAAGCTCACTGATAAGTATAGTAAACGTATACACAGTATGCTCACAACCATCACACTCCATCCTCTTAAACAGCACTAAAGCATCGTCTATCCTCCCACACTTACACAGTCCATCGATGAGCGCATTGTAGCAATATGAATCCGGCAGACACCCCTTCTCAGCCATTTCATCAAACACCTTCTCAGCTTCATCCACCCTTCCCGCCTTTCCAAGTCCATCAATCAAACTAGAATAAAAAACAGCATTGACAACAACAGCATTCTCATTACAAAACCGAAAATAACCCAAAGCTTCCTCTACTCTGCCACTCTTACATAACCCATTAACAATAGCACCATAAGTAACCTCATCAGGCTCAATCCCATCCATTTTCATCCTCTCAAACAACCTTAAAGCCCCATCAGAATTCCCACTCTTCCCATAACAATCAATCAAAGCAGTGTAAACAGCCTTATTACCCTTACAACCATTTCTAAGCATATTCTCAAACAAAGCATAAGCTTCTAAAACCTTCCCCGTCTTACAAAGCCCGCATATGAGCAAAGTATAACAATGAGAAGGAACTTGAAATCCCTTATCCTCCATCTCATGGTAAAGACTCAAACAACAATCAACATCCCCTTCAGAATAACAAGCCTGCATTATTGTCATATAAGTAACAACATCAGGCTCCAAGTTAATTACCTCCATTTCGCGAACCATCTCAGTCGCCTTTCGTGTTTTCCCAATCTTACAATACCCTTTGATCAAAGTATTGTAGGTTACAACATCAGGCTTTATTCTTCCTTCTTTCATGGCGACAAAAACACGCTCGGCCGATTCGATAAAAGAGGAACCAACGAGTCCGTTAAGAAGGGAGTTGTAAGTGAAAAGAGTCGGGTGGATGTTTTGTTCGTTCATTCCACGCCAAACTAATAGAAGTTCATTGACCAGGCCGGCGTTACCGAAGCTTTTGATGAGGGAGTTGGCGGATGGGGATGTTAAGGGGAGGCGGCTACGTTGAAGTTCTGCAAAAATATTTAATGCGGCGGAGGTGGTGTTGGTTGAGGGGGATAGGAGTAGGTTGATTAGTGAAACGTAGCAATCGAGGGAATGTGAGTAGTTACGTTGGTGGGAAGCCCAGGTGAAGAAACGGAGGGCGGTGTGGTGGTTGTTGAGGGAACGGAGAGCGTGGGCGACGAAGGAGGGGGAGAGAGTGATGAGAAATTGGCGGCAGAAGGAGTCGAGATTTGATTCCATGGTTGGGGAATTGTCGAGGAGGTTGAGGATTTGTGTGAACCATGGAGAGGGCTGGAGGTTTTGTTTGGAGGAGATGACGTCGGAGAGGTCGGAGAAAGGTTCGACGAGTTCTGGGGGAGGGAGAGGTAGGGTTTTGAAGGAGTGGGAGAATGAATTGGCATTGTGGTGGTGCGGGGGATGTGTTTGGAGGTGAAGGGGAAAGGAGAAGTGGATGTGTGTGATTGAAGGAGAAGGTTGTTTCAGTAGCAGACAGGAGATTCTTCTCATCACTGTAAAGTCCACTCCTCCGAGTTTGGTTGATTTTCGAATGAGAAAAACCGTTTCCCCTGATTCTGCCACTTGATTATATCATTTCCCCCTCTAATACCTCCATTGTCTTTCATATTATTTCTAGGATAAATAATCATTTTGCTGGGAATTCTAAAAATAATGTATTAAAAAAAATACAGATGAAGATTTTTCTATTTTACATCTTGAATGAATTTAATCAATAGAATTTGAGATTTTTTTTTTTTTTATATTATTGACGTGGTTGCCAATCGGACTTTTTTAGTTTTTATTTATTTTTTTTAATTTCATGTGACTTTTATTTTTTATAAGATTACAATATGATGGTGTAGATATTCAACATCATTTTTTTTACTTTTTATATTCTAGATCATCTTCTCTTTCTTTTATCTAATAATTCAACAATCATTCAATTTTTATAAAAATAATTATTATTATTAAAATAAATAAAAGTGAATAAAACAAGAGTTTATTGGAGGTTAAATAGAAAAAATAGAGAGAAAGAGTGAATTTATTTTTGTGTGTCCAAATCAAATGAACCAAATCTCTATTAAATAATGTTATATAGTAAGAATCATTTAAATAAAATAAAAAAGACAAGAATATATACTTGTCATTGTTTTAGAGGATAATTTTAAATTTAATTTAAATTTAATTTCCTTTTTAATAGGAATCACGGGGTGGTGGTTATAATGAATGGTTGAGATTTAACTCTTGTCTTTCTTACTTTCATACTTTCTTACTAATAAACATTTTCCATCTCTATGTATAGACAAAAAAATGATGAATTTTGGTGAAAATTGATCTTACTGGTTGATCAGAACCTAAAAGGTGGTCGGATGACGATCTTCTGTCGGGCTCGAAAATCGAAGAGGAGAAAAGAGGTTGTACCTGCAAGACACTTCGACGATCAAGTAAGTGTGGGAGCGAAGAGATACAAGCAAAGTATTAGGGTTTTAGTGGTGAATAGTGAATATTTGATACCTGACCCTCACAAGTGTGAGGGTATATATAGTGCCCCTGACGCGTAGCCATTGGTTCCTATTTTTGGGTCTAGATATGCGAACCCGTGAAAATAGGTAACTTTCAGAACTTGGTCATATCGAGCAGGTGTGTCCGTAACTAGTCGTTGGTTCCGAGGAGGAGGTAGGCTATGGGCAGCGGTCTGGTCGGTTCCTGGTTGTCTGGGCGACTTGATATCGAAAAAACTGAGAGATGCTCATTAGTCATCGTGGGTCAGCACCGATCTAGGAGGACAAACAATCGATAGCGCCCGACAGGGCGGAGAAGGTTCTGCTCATGGTCGTATGGGCTGCGCCAAAGGGGAAGTCTAGACTAGGCCCACTCTGGCTGTCGGGCCAGTCCAGAACAATAGCCCCCCAAGTCGTTGCTTTCGAGCATGGGAGTGATGATTTGATATCTGCTCGATAAAATGGGGTGTTTCTTACGGGAGAGTATGAGCGTCACCCGTAGCTCCTTTCTCGTGGGGAGAAGAGCAGTTGGTCGCTTTGGGCTTTGAACTTGAAGAGGTAGCGTGTTTCGGGAAATGCGTCGATGAAGCGGTACAATGATGGCTTAAGAGCTAGGGTGTAATGATGACGATCCTAGGGTTCCCTAGGTATGTGTTACCCACACGTGGATGGTCCCAGCTATAAATATGAGAGGAGTATGGCGTTTTGTATTTTTCATTCTTCTCTCAACTGCTCGCCTGTCGACCGCCGTTGGTTTTGAAGTTTCTACTGCTCGCCATCGCTCTTCTCAGCTTTCTTTATCCTTCAATCGGTAAGTTTTCAATTCTTCGCTGTTATTAGACATTTTTAGTTCATATATTCATTATTTTAGCCTTACAATTGCACGCGGTTAGGGTTACGATGTCGTTAGTTGGGATTTTCTTAGACGAGTGTTGGTGGTGAATGGAGATTATGCGTTTTGGAATCGCCGAAGCCGTCGTAGGCTTTCCTTTGACATACGCGACGCACCGCATGCGACTCTTTGGGATTTTAGGTTGTTTTTCACGGACTGAGGCTTGTTCTTGTTTGAAGAAGCGTTCCTTCGCTCAGATGCCTTAGTGAGGGTTCTGGTCGGGGACATAGTCCTCGTTTATCAACGCCCTTTCACTTGATTAGTGTTGGAAGGGTGGTTTTGGTGATGATGTCGAGCTCACCTCTATCCTTTGTTTTTCAAGTACTATGGCCGACAATATCAAGGATGATTTTTCAGATGAACGAATCGGGTCATCTCTAAGCTCTATGGATAATTCCTGCAGACGTCGAGCGTTCAGGAGATTTCTAGGGGAGAACCGAGCAGATCGGACCAGCAATTAAGGGGAGAAGACGCAAATATGGTCCCCGTCAACCAGGTTGGTCTGTTCCCTCCCGACGAAGACGAGGACCTACGGTCTTGGGTCGCCCAAGATCCTTGGGATTGGGCCTCTTATTTCTTCGAGCACCCTGATGAGGTTTTCATCGAGGTGTATTCGTACGGTAACGGAGATCGAGGGGATTGGTCGCTTTGGATCCCTAGGAAAGACAGCTAAATCAGCTTTAAATATGACAAGAGGCGGATTCCTATGTACGATATTGTCTTCCAGGAGATGGTCCTCCGACTCCCTTTTTTAGACTTATAGGTGGCCGTTTTCTGTAACGCCCGATAATTTAATTAATTATTTAATTAAATTATTTTTGAATCATTTGTTGAAATGTGTGGGATGTTTCTATATGTTGCTAAGTTGTTATTTGGTTGATTATTTTAGTTGATTAATATTAGAAATAATATAAAATTAAGTTGTTGGGCTTAGTTATATACGTAGTAAGGTGTGTGTGTGTAAGTTAGGCCTAATATGATTAATGAAATAAGGTTAAGTTGATATAAGAATTAGGCTAATTAGAAAAATAAGGAAGTTTTGGTGTACTGATCGTGAGAAGTTGCAGAAGAGGCAAAGTAAGGTTTTCGATTAGAGAGTTATAGAGCGACCTTCAATCCAAGGTAAGGGTGGAGTTCTTACTCTATAATGGGAATTATGATGGATATTATGTAGGGATTCGTTACGTGTATAATTGTTGTGCGTATGATTTTTTTTCTGGATCTGTTTCTGAAATTTCCTGTTTTCATGTTATGGTTGTTTATGAATTTTCTGCATAACTATACTGTACAAATTGATGAATCTGTTAGTGGAGATTATCACATGTTGATATAGTTATCATGTTTCTATGTTATTCCATGTTGTTGGTCTGAAATTAATGATCGAGGAGAATACTGAAAGGCTGGGTTAACGTTCATCACAGACTGGATGAAATTTGTGCAAAAGTGTTAAAGACACGTCGTACCGAGGGACACATGTGCTTGTGCCGAGCGACACAAGGTTGCAAGATGTGCTGAGGGGCATGGTGTGTGCCGACCGACACACAGGCAAAAAGGGGGAGTTCCGCGCGACAGGGTTGTTGTGTCGAGGGTCACATGTATTTCTTTTTCTTTTTTTCTTTTCTCTTGTGCATCCTAATTGGTGAGTTATTTGTTTAACAGTATTGGCATAATAATTAGAGTTCTTAAGGTAATTTACCCCCTGAATGATTAATGGGTTACTATTAGATATAAGTTAGTAGCAGGAGAGATAGTAGAATTAATAATTAGTAGAAAACTAATAATAAGGTTATCAACAAAAGTAATTTAGTAGAGTTTTCAGTAGCAATATTAATAGGAGAACAAATTAGTAGCTAGTAACAAAGATGAAATAATTAATAAGTGACTAGAAGTAAACTGTATGGAGTTAGAAATAGTAGTACAGAATCAAAAATATTAGTATTTTAGCAGAAAACTATTTAGCCGGATATAGTCGAATTGCCTGAATAATTACACAGGATGTCGTAGTATATTTTGGTTAATACGGTGTATTGTATACTTTGTTATAATTTGAGAATTGGAAGATGATGATGATGAATTTTGTTGAGATGCCTCTAATTATTGATAGATATTATGTTGTAGGCTTATGGCCAAATTTTGAATTGTGTTGAATTGTTGTTGAATTATTGTTGTTGTTACTATATTCATATTGTTGTCACATACATAGCATATCAAGTTGGGAGCTCATGCCCGGTAAGTTGGCCTGGATTGGTAAATATAAAGTTGAAGGCTTATGCCTTGTTGATGCCTCTATTAACTGGCAGGTTATTAAGTTAGGAGTACTGCTCTGATTGTACCACATGCATGTGCATAAAAACAAGTCGCATTTCATGTTGCATCCTGAGTTGTTGTATGGATGAATTGATTATGTTAAATGTTGTTAAAGAGCTGCGAAGTGGTGATTTTGTATGAACTGATTCTAATATATTATTTATCATGCATTTTATTATATTGTTTCATATCTCACCTCTTCTTTTTGAATGTTACCCCTATGTTGGTAAGGTGGAGGTAATCCAGTGTGAAGGTTGTTTACCTTCATTAGCTCGAGTCGGTGTCATCGCTCTGATATGTAACACTCGGGGGGATGAACGTTTGTTGCTTTATTGTTGATTTTACTTTAGTTGCTGAATTTTAATTTGATTTCTAAGTACTTTGTTGTTTCTAAAGTTGTTTCGATCGAACAAAGTTGTTATGACATTGAGTTAAAATTGTGATTCCGCTGCTTAATTATAAAAGTTGTTTTATTCTAAAGACTATATTATGTGGTTAACAGTTCATCTGAGTTTAAGTGTTATGTATATGTTTTACATGCGATTAAATAAAGTTGTTTTTAAGTAGTAAGTGTAACATCCTATTGATATGTCCAGATTTTATAACTCTGATTTTAATAATATTTATCGGGTAGAAATAGGGTGTTACATTTTCTGTCATCTTTGACTGTCTCCTTCCCAGTTGCATCCGAATAGGGTCGCTTTTATGCGGCCGTTCGAGATCGTATGCGACTACCTGAAGATAGGGGCCACCATCCCTTTTGTTTTTCTACTGCTTCCATTTCTAGATGAGCAAGATTGATGGTAAGT